AAAATAAAAATTAAAAAAATAATTACAAGTACTTGTGTATTTCTGACCAATTTCCCTTCTTTTAAAGTATGGTAACTTCCAACAGAGGTGGAAAAAGAACTTGCCTCCAAGTGACCAGTGGAGTCAGGAATTGAATTTCTATTTCTCAATTCAGTCTGCTACTGATAATTCTCTCTCTCGGGGGCTTTTATTTCTAAAGATAGAATAAAACTTGGTGGAGAAAATAAACCTCAAGCTGAACTTTCCTAAAGAACCTAAAATATTACAAATAAAAGCAAATGATAACTGAAATAGTAAAAGAGGGACTGAGCAAAATGTTCTAACAGAAGAGGAAGGGAAGTTTGTTGTGACTAATCTAAGTTTCCAGTCTTTCCACTTAATGAAGAGCTTAGAAAAACTTCAGCATTTTGCTTTTTTTCCTTAAAAGTATGACTTATGTGCATTTGACCCCTGCTTCTTTGACAGCTTATATGTATGTTTGAGTGGTCAAGGGAAGGTGCATGCAGAGGCTAGATTCAGAATTACAATTTACAATAAAAGAAGATTGTGAGTTCCTTTCTTATACTTTTAATTTTTAAAAGGGAAATTTTCCTTAGATTTAATTTCTTTCAAGACAGTTACAAAGTTTTGTTCCTTTTATGGGTAAGGTGGGAGTGTAACAAATCACAGCACAGACCAACATGGACCTAAGAAACATTAAGATCCAAGTGAAAAGTAGTAAATTAAGATAGCTGCTCATTGAACCATTAATCCCATTCAACTTTTATTCTGGGAATCCTAACATATCTGGGTGAACAGAGTAGCATGTAAGTGTCCTCATCCCAACAACATTTAAATTTTTCTTTTCATTAGTTGTTTGCTTTTACATTACCACAAATCTATCAGCTGACAAAGAGAAACATTTCAGATGACATTTGAACTCTTTACGAAACATATTCACAAAAGTTGCAAAGTATGACAAGGGGAAATTTCCAAAAAGCTCTATTTAACAAGAACTTTCAACTAAGCAAAATTTCCACACCAGACCTCTGGTGACCTAGTGATAAGAAGCTGTGCTGCAATGCCAAAGGCACATGGGTAGAATGCACCAGCTGCTCTGTAGAGAAGGATGGGAAATCTTCTTCCATGAGATTTACTGCCTTTGAAAAGCCACTGGAAGGTCAGCTATGAGTTGGTTTTGACTCAATAACTCTCAACTTGATATCAGGCAATAAATAATTGAGAAATAAACTGATGATACAGATTTTTAAAATAAAAACCAAAACTTAACACTTGGATACAATGAAAAATTCCTACAAAATATGTCTCAATGTTTTTTCAGTCTTATGATCTTTAGACATGCAGTACTAGCAACATTCAAAGCTTGTTTAAAACTGGTATTCTCAGGACACACTCCAAACCACTGAATCATAATCTGCCTTTTAATCCCCTCTGGTAAATCAAATGCACACTGCAATTTGAGAAGTATCACTCTACAATACTACCTGTTTTCTCTATCAATGTCTAAAATTATATTCAGAAGATTATCTGGAGACACTATAATATTTCTGTTAAAAAATAACCATAGGTATTAAAACCATTGATGAAGATTTTAAAGTAGAATGTAGAATTAAAAGAGTGAAATTATGCAAAATGCACCATTCCACCAACATCCTTATTAACTGAAGCACCACTAAACTGTGCACAGAATATTCTATATATTAGTATAATCAATATTAATGCTATATATTCATATGGTATCTCATTATAATAAAAACTACCATTCTTTTCTTTGAATCTTTTAAGAACTTCTAAGGGCAAACACCTGTATCAGATAACATGTGCTTCATATGTGATTCTACTTAAAACTTCAGATTATGATCAGATTTATGCTCTGAAAAAGCATCTTTCATTTAAAAAATTAATTCTTCTCTGCCATAAATGTTTATTATATTTCTAGTTCTTTATCATATTAATAATGAATAAAAAAATTTCCATCTCCATCATCAAATTTAACAAAACAAATTTTAAAATCTAATTTCTCACAATAAAAAAAGTCTGTGTGATTAATTGAAAGAGAAAAAAAAATACAAAAATACCCCAAACCAAAATCCACAATATACTTTGTAAATTTTCATACAAATCACAATAAAAAAGGCTTTAAAAAAAGAAAAATGATATCCCTGGGAAGAAGGAGACATTGCACAAGTGGGAGTATCGATTAGACAAAAGCCTTGTCAAAAGCTCATATTTTAATATTATTATATTTCTAGCAATCCTTGATATCCCACAAAGTTGAATCCAAGCTAATGTGCAAGCAAGTGGATGTGTGGACACTTTAACTATAAAGTTTTCTATTCCCATGTTTAACCTACTTCAGTAATTTGAAAATAAATTCAATACACTGAAAAATACAGCGTATATGTCAGTTCATTGTTCTACCAAAATAATATGATACCATATCTTAACTGACTGAATTATTATATAAAAACAAATTATTCTAATTATAATAGTGAATATAATTAAAAGCAGTAAAATGTTGGTAACTTGTTTGAATGTGCACATGAGCAATCTTTCCACAGCCAGGCCCTGGCCTTGTTCTCACTGTTGATAATGAGCTTTTCCATTGACTCTTTCCACAGGACAAAACTGTCATTCCACATCCGCTGACATTCTCTTGAGAGTGGCACATATAGGTTTTCCTGTGGAAACAGGGCACTCCTGAGATGGTTTTTCTATCTATAAAGGCCTAAAAGTTTGCAACAGAAGGTGAAGGTAAACATTGATAATTGTTTTTTTTAAAGTGTTAAAATGTATATGGTACTACAGAGAAAAGTATATGGGGAATAAAAAAACTCATGAAGGACCGCACATCCATATTAAACAACATTTATCAGACAGAGGAACTCAGACTCACGTGAGAGGAATAACATTTGCTTTCGATTGTCTTCTGCTTTTCAGGGCTCGAAGTCTGTCACCTTGTGTCATTCTATTGATTTCATCATCATCACTGTACTGTGTAAGTAAAAAAAAATACTGAGTTAATGATTTAAGTTACACCATATTAATGCAGTAAAATATAGCAGCTACCTTTACTACATATACCCCTATTAACTTCATGTTTCTGCTAACCTTTGTATTATTTTCTCCTTTCAAAATAATGCTACATTATTTCTAGAAATCCAAAAGTTGACTTTCACATACACAGAACCCAAAAGCATGCTTTCATTTATAAAGCATATTGACACTGAAAAGGCATAATGGGTTTTCAAGGTTTTGTTAAAATTTAAAACTTTGAAATTAAAGTTTACATGTGGTAGTGGTGCTGTTTTGTTTTGTTTTTAGTTCCCTAATTAACTTCAGGAGAGCTTTGGTGGCCTAGTGGCAAGAAGCTGCCAGGTGTTGAGTGGAAGAAAAATGAGCATTCTCCTCCCATGAGATTTACTGACTCTGAAAACTTGCTGGAGGGTCAGTTATGAGTTCGTTCCAGCTCCGTGGTACACAACAGCAATAGCAATGAATGACTTCAATTTTACTTAATTTAGGACTGCTCTAGATTTTCCATTTGAGAGTTACTGGTTTCTTAAATTTGATGTAATGAAATGGAAAAAATGTTGAGGTTGAGGTGTAATATCTGAAGTGCTTATTTCACATCCCTCTTCTTTCCAACTGTGTCTAGTTGGGTAAAAACATTAACTTTATAGACACACAACCCTGTTTTAACAATTTGGAGTCAAATATTCCTAAAGAAGGCTATATATATGTAAAAAAAAGTGACAATTATCTATCAAAATGTGCTTTATTATGTTTATATACAATTGTTCCATACTCTAAATGGTTCTCAACAGAATTTAAAGCAATTGCAACAGCACAATGGAGACAATTCGATTACCGGTTCAGGTTCTTGCTTGTCTTTATTCTTGACCATATTTATTGAAATGTCATCTACACCCAAGAGGAGTTTTGAGACAGCTGCTCTATGTTTTTCATGCTCCTGGTCTCTCAGTTTTTGACGAAAACAGTCACCTTCCAGCCAGAGACCTGCTTCTTTCCTAGAGTATTTAAGTAACACATGATACTGTTTTCCAGAAACAAATACATAAACATCTTTTCTTTGCTAGACTATTTCTTTTTACTGGAGACTAAGACAAAATCTTTACTCCCCATCATAATTAAATTCTGTTTCTGTTCAGCCTATTTAATTTCTAGGCCCACTAGCTCCCTGGGAAATTACAAAAGATCTCCATCTACTTACATCACCAAAAACTGCTGCTGTGGTCCAATCACAGAGCCAGGTCTACAGATTCGGATCCAAGAAATGGTCTCAGCTGCTGACATCCTGTAATGCTTCATTATGTAGCAGGCTATAAGAGTACCAGTTCGTCCAAGACCAGCTAAGAAAAGGAAAAACAAAACAAAACAAAACAAAAAATAAACAAACAAAAACACAACAAAACAAAACCAACACACCAAACAACAACAACAAAACAAACAATGAAAACTGATTTTATATATTAAAAAGTTCTGTTCTTTTGTTTAGAGGGTTTTCATGGCTCTGCTTTTTCTCAGTGGCAATAGTTCTCAGTTTATACATGGAAATTACCACAAACTAGAATAAAACAGTAACTCAAACCCATAGCTGTACTGTTGGAACTGACTCATAGCTGACCCTTCAGTAAATTTCCAAGATTATAAATCATATGGAAGGAGACTGCTTATCTTTCTCTAGCAGAATTGATTTTGGATTTGAACTGACAGAGAGGCATGGTCTTTGGTTTAACAACATAACTCCTTATAAGCACCTCCACCAGAGTTCCCCAATTACATATATGTTGTTGCATGTGCTATTGATTCAATCATGATTCACAGCAATCATAAACAATACGTATGAACCTTGCCCTATGTTGAGCCATCTAGTTGTTGTTGTGAACCTATTTTCAGATAAGACCACATTCTGAGATTCCAGGAATTACCTAGAAGTTTGTGTCGTTTTTTTAAAAAATTTTTAATTTTTTTATTTTATTATTAGTGTGTGTGTGTATGTGTGTACTGTCAAATTGGATCTGACAGGTACAGGAGATTTTCCCTCCTTCTCCAGCAGCGCATTTGGTAGATTTGAACTGTGCACCTCTGGGATTGCACTGCAGCTTCTTGCCAGTAGGCTACCAGAGCTCTACCTAGAAGTTTTAAAAAAACACTGGTCCCACTCACAAATTTCTGATTTAATTGGTATGGGGTGCAGTCTTGGCACAGGGATGCTTTTAAATAAGTGATTTTATGTGTAGCCAATATTGAGAAGAACTGCTCTGACAAAGATTCTGAAAGAATGTAGTGTTTTCTGCCCTAGGTTTTTTCTTCATGGTACTATCATTTTTCCAGAAACACAAGCCTGAAATCCTGTGATTACTTCATCCAACAGTGTTCAACTCTATTTTCAAAACCTTTCTTCTATGATCTTGTGTACTGACGATTCAGAACCAATTCATAGCTAGAGGCAGTAAATCACATAGGAAGAAATTGTCCATCTATCTCCCATTGAGCAACTGGTGGATTCTAATAGCATTTGGCATTGCAATTCCTTACCACTAAGTCACCAGAGCTCCCTTCTTTTATATAGACAACTTTTTTTTTAACTTTATTGCTGCTGTCTGCTTTCCTTCTCATGCAGACTATTATTACTACCTCCAGATGCTTCTGTTTTCACTCTAGAGTCCAGCAGTCTTCACTGTTACTAGCTTTCTTTTTAAAACAAGATTCAATCATATCTTGTTCTCTACAAGTTTTAAATAGGTCATTGGTGTATTGCAAGTTTCTTGACAGTGGTACAATTGGTATTCTAGCTGGATAATTCATCATCATGGTGGCTCAACATCATAGAATATAAACATTGTTAGGCTCTACTCATTAGATGATAGTAGCACCCCACTCCTAATTACAACTAAAATATTTCCAGATATTGCAAAATATCCCCTTGACGGACACTGTTCTGGTTGCTATAAACAGATCTCTGCAAAAAGCTTCCAACTCCACAAAGACAACATCTTGAGTTTGTTCTGCTAATTTAGGCACCCTATTTCTACTTCTACATGGTCAACACTCTTGGCACCAGTAGCCAGGAAATCAAAAAACGTAGTACGATGGGAAAGTCTGTGGTTAGGGACCTCTCTAAAGTACTCAAGAGCAACAGTGTCTCTCTGGAGACTAAGGTGCGCCTGATACAGGCCATGGTCTTTGCAATCACTTGTTATGCATCATAGAGTTGGACAATGACTAGGGAGGATAGAAGGAGAACTGACGCCTTTGAGCTGTGGTGCTGGAGAAGAGTATTGAATGTACCATGGACTGCCAAGAAAACAAACAGATTCATCCTAGAGAGGGTTAAACCAGGCTGCTCCTTGGAGGCAAGGATTCTGGGGCTTCGCCTGACATACTTTGGACATGTTGTAAGGAGAGACAGGTCTTTAGAGAGGGACATCATGCTGGGCAGTGTGGAGGGACAGCGCAGGAGGGGAAGACCCTCTATGAGGTGGATTGATTCAGTGACTGGGGTAATTGGGATGGGTGTGTCACAAGGAATGAGATTGGCACAGGATAGAGCAGGGTTTAGGGCTGTTGTACATAGGGTCGCTATAAGTCGCAAATGACCTGATGGCACATAACAACAACAAACAATTTCTACTTCTGTAGAGTATAATCAAATCCACAGCAACCTTACAAGATAGTATAGAACTGTCCAATAGGGTTTCCAAAGCTGAATCTATTTAGGAAAAATAACTGCCAAGTCTTTCTTCCCTGAAGCAGCTTGTGAGTTTAATAGCCAACCTTGAGGATAGCAGCTGAGTGTTTCATTACTGCCTCAGGACTCCTCTGATGTACCCTGTTGTTATGTGCTGTTGAGTCAACTCTGATAAATTTTCAGCAGGGTCTTGCTTGCATGTGAAATTAATGATATTGTTCCATAATTTCCACATTTTTTTCAAGTATCTTCTTTGGAATGGGAACAAATATGGATCTCTCCAGTCAGTTGGCCAGGCAATTTTCCTCCAGATTTCTTGGTACAACCTGATAAGCGCATCCACAGCAGCATCTGTGTGTTGCAATATGTCATCATTTCCCAACGTCTTGCTTTTTGCCAGTTCCTTCAGAGTAATTTGAACTTCCTCTTTCATCACCATAGGCCATTGATCATGAAATTCTTCCAATTGTTTCTGCTATAATGACTCTGTGTACTCCTTCCATCTTCTTTTGAATGCTTCCTATGTCTTCCAGCATTCTTCCCACCACATCCTTAAGTACTGCAACTCAAGGCTTGACTTTTTTTTCCTTCAGTTCCTTCAGTTTAAGAAATGCTGAGAAAGTTCATCTCTTTTGATTTTCTAACTCCAGCTCTTTGCATACTTCAGTATAATACTTTGCTTTGTCTTCCAGTGCTGCCCTTTGAAATCTTCTGTTCAACTCCTTCATATCTTGATTTACCCCCCTCCCCCTTTGCTTTTTTGGTACACTAGTGCAATATTCAGTCTTTTCTGACATCTGTTTTGGTCTTTTCTTCTCCCTCTGTCTTCATAATGACATTTTTAAATTCTTTATGGATGATATTCTTGATAGCCTTCCACAGCTCAGCTGGCTTTAAACTTGTTCCTGTGATGGTCTTTAAATTCAGGAGAGATAGACTCAGGGTCAAACTTTGGTTCTTGTGGACTTGAGTTGATCATCTTTAGCATGCTTCCATATGAGTAGTTGATCTGAGTCACAATTGGCACCTGGCTTAGTTTTCATAGCTGATATTCAGCTTCTCCAACAATTTTTTCTACATATGTAATGGATCTGATTCCCACTCAGGCCATCAGATGAGGTCCATATGTATAATTGCCATTTGTGTTTCTTATAAAAGAATAAATCATTGATTGTTATAGGAAGCCAAACTTCATACCAAATATTTTATGAAAACCCTTGTTCAGGAATTGAAGGATTTACTAATTTCTAAATTAGGGTTTCTCTTGTGACAGATCACAGAAAATGAACTGTTTGTTCCCTGCAGACAAGAGACAGCTAAGGACCCCCTACAGAGGGAGTGTTACTATGTGTGAAATACTTCCTGAGCTAGAGCATTAGGTTGACAATAGAGAAAATTTCAGCTTCATTTACAAGGAATTCTTTTTATGATTTGCTTCACCTGATTATCAATAAATACAGAGAGAGGCGTGGCTTGAGGCCTGTCAGTCAAGAACTGCGGGCCCCCTGTTTTATGCTCTCTGCTCTATCTCATTCCTGGCTGTTTGTCTCATTATTAATAACTATAAAAACACTTTACCCTCGGTCTGCAACATTCTGGTGCCCGAACCTGGAACAAGGTGGTGGTTTCTCTTTGGATAAGGTGATGGTCTTCCTTCCTTCCTTTCCTTTCCTCTTCCTTCCTTCCTTCCTTCCTTCCTTCCTTC